ATAAAGGCGTCGCGTGACTTGAGATGGTGCCAGATTGAACAAAGACAAGAGTGCCTCATATACTGTACTCCCATTCGAGACTCTCATACTGTGTAGTCGTGCCGCATCTACCTAAAGTGATATTGACTTTTTTGGGGGGGGCGTAGACCCCTGAAGGCGTCTTCACGTACCTCTTAGTGTGCATTGTAGAATGTGCTCCATTCATTATGCTTTATGCTCATTACTTGCCCTCGAATGAGTGATTGGTTTCACTGTTCTGCAGACTTGAGCCCCACAACCCCAAGTGCTTGGAGGGAATGAATGCAGAGCTTACTATTCCTACTATTCAAACAGATTCTGGGTATTCGCATTGAACATTGCATATTGAAAACTTCTTTGAACAAGTATTTGGCTAGAATATCTTCCCGGGAACTGGGTATTCTGATATAATATTGGTTGTTAAGAAATGTGATACTGAGTAAAACTTTGAATATGGGATTCCAATCAATGAATAAGTGTATTCAGAATCGCGGTTTGATGGGATAGGCTGCCTACGGGCAGCAAGCGGATGCACTGCAACCAGTCACCGTTTAATCGCCCCCCCCCCCCCCCAAATCTTTCTCATGTTCTGAGGGACCGGGAAGGTGTGAAGTTATTTGGGGGATGGCGGCGTGAAGTGAAGCTTCTCATTGGTGGACGGGATAAGGCGCTGGGACTCTACATCACGCAATCCGAGGCCCCCATTGGCTAAAAATACCATTCCCATCATCCAATCCCCTCTCAGCTCCCCTCTGGGCATTTTCCACACCAGCACAAAAAAGCCCTCTCTCCCCCCCCCCCGCTTTTTTATCGTTTATTTCAGGATGCAGAATTGCTGGGCGGCCCTCGTTTCCGACTTCCCCTCGGCGCTCATTGGATCACGTCACGTCATCAGAGAATAGAGAAAAAAATTCTTCCCCCTCTGCAGTCTTTACCACCTCATGCGTTTTTCACTGTTTCGTGTGTCCGCGAACCCCCCCCCTCCCTCCCCATTATCTGATTAATCAATCAGGAGGGTCGAGAGACATGATTCATTAATCGCACCATTGATGGGATCAAATGATGACCTTATTTTAGTCCGATGAGTATTAACCCAGCTCCTTCCTTTTTCCTTAACCCAGTTCTCTTTCCTTGGTGGTCAGAACGCAATGTACGGTGTACAGCGAGTAGAAATTCTAGTCATAGGAAATATTGTCTCGCGATGGAACCTCTTGAGCAGTAACTCGATGGATGAATCGAATCCCAGGTCTCATTCCTGAATCATTCGATTTTGCTACCTGAACCGCGGAGTTGTCCCTCTATTTTTTCAGAATGAGAATTTTTTTCCAGCTAGATATGCATTTCGGAATGACGTTCCAAATCCTGAGCCAGTGATCAAAGTGAGGTCGAAGACAAGGAATATAAAATAATATTGTTGCTTTAAGGTCAAGAAAAAAAAAACACTTGTTAACAGGCTCTGAATCAGATTCAAATCATCCTGGGTCGTTTTCAGGAATGTTGAACCGGGTATGATAAGCAAATCACCGAGAAGTCGATCGTGTGGAATCACGATTCGGAGTGTCAGTACGCACGAGCAGGCCGGACGTTCGTAAAGATGTGAAAGCGATTTAATTGTCCCCGTTGAGACAGATTTTATGATATTCTGGCGAGAGGAGCAAGGTTTACTTACCGTTTCAGCACCAACGTGACTAAGTTGATGAGGTATTGATGAATATAAAGCGATTGAAAATTATAATTAATTTGAATTTTTTAATTTGCTGGCCGATCTGTCTTTAGAAATCCAAGGCTTCTGCGTACTTGAGCTGCCTGGAAGTGTGAGTTAATAATTACATTTCAAATTGAAAGTCACATGATCGCTTAGAGGATATTGGCACGTATATGTAACGATGTAAGTAATGCCAAGTACTCAATCTGAGAGAAGTGCATATCGATGTATGTGGGTTTGCCTTCCGTAATCTCCGGAGCACATCTGGAACTTTAACGCGAATGAGTCCACTGTCATGTCTACTTGATTTTTATCCAGGGTGTTGAAGGCAACCTCGACATTATGTTGCGTTGCATCATTTTTGCCTTCCACACCATGCAACAAAATGAAGTAAATCAAGTGATGGACCATTAAGTCATTCGCGCCCAAACTTCACATGTGCCTCAGATTAAAGGAGACAGCTCAACCCAGTTCGATGAGCAATGATCTCGCAGTCTGAACCATTTCCAGCCGATTTTTACATCGGTGCTTCAATTAAAACGTGAGAGTATCCCGTGAGTGATTTTGTATTTCAAATATAAATTATAAAAACAGTTTTCATGGGAATGAAAAAAGACACTAATGAAATGGACACACGGTAGAATAGTTTGGAGTGGATTTGGATTTGTTGGGAGAAGCAGGGGGGATACATTTTGCAGTTTGTCAAGCGATGGGAATGCGGTTTTGGAACAAGTTCCAATCGGCGCAAATGTTTTGTGCCTTGTAAGTTCTTATGTCATATACCAGAGTTATTCGATTGTGCTGCTTCTGACCGAAACTACTCAATGGCAACAGGCAGGAAGTGCCCAGCCTCTGTTTCCAGAAGTGCAGAACAGAAAACAACCTAAGTAAACCAAATTATAGCATAGCAGCTTGCAGATATGGGGCAACACCTTAGAATATTAAAGAGAGGAAAGGATAGCGAAAGATCCATCCTTGGAAATTGCCAGGCAGCCTGCGTCATCGGGGAGTTTCGTCCGCAAGTCTGACTGAACAAGCTAGAGCTGCAAGTTTAAACAGATAAAGCTGTACCTAGGAAATGCATTCGCAGCGTAAATCTGGTCGCCCATCATGGTAATTGCTTATTCAGCCAATTTATTTTAGTAATATGTATAATAAAACGGAGAGTTATAGAGCTCAAGAAATGGCTGGTTGATTAGAGAGAAGCGAAGAAAGTAAGGAAGGACGGATGAAAGAAAAAAAGAGAACGAAGCTCCTACCTGGGGGAAATTGAAAAGTCAATGGGGAGGGAAAAGGGCGTATTTTGTCCCGGTTTTTGTGAATTCGGGGAAACCCATTTTTATTGTAAGTCACCAGTAATGGAATGAATGGGTAGATGTGGAGGATGGGGGTCGTACGTGAGAGCGCAAATTTTGGTCAGGGGTAGGATCCTGAGAGGAAGACCTGCAAATGTGCCCGAAACCTTTTAAAACTTATTTTACCGTGAACCTAATAAAAAAAAATGGGTTGAAAAGAAAGGAAGAGAGGAGAGAAGGAGAAGGAAAGGAGGCTTCGAGGCTGTTGGCCTCGCTGGTTCTCGACCACCCGCCTCCACCCCCTTGATGCCCGCTAGCCTCTCAGCCGAGTCCTTATCATATCCCGTCTTTACTCCGTCCGCGTCCTCCTTGCCTTCCTCTCTCCTACTGATCCATCTCTCTCTACTGTCACCTCATTCCAAATTCTTGCTCCACGTTACGTTGCACAACGTAGGAGTATCATTCCCCCAGCGTGTCTGTCGGCCTTCCCCGCACTCTGGAAATTGATGGATCGATCGCGCGCACGTCTTTACAGTCCCTGAAGATTCAATCAGGCGAAATGACGTGGAACTCGATCGATTCGAGGAGGCTTGTAATTCGATCCCGTTATAATTGAATGACGCTGCGCAGCGGAGAGACAAAAGGATCATGTGGCTCGTGCCTTCATATAGCAACGGATATAAATAGGTCAAGGTCATTTTCACCCTTACCCCAGGGCTTCTCCTCTACCCCTCTGTATACTCGCGGAGTTTTTTTTGGCTTGGGAATCGGTTTGCAAAGCGGGACTAGTTCATCACTTCTAGTTTTTTTTTTAAGAGGAAAATGGAAGTCATTGGTGAAGTCTGACGAGACACGGCTAGCTTTTGAGTCAAAGAATTCAAGCTTTTTTTAAATCTCATTCATGCATTCACCCTTTCACTCATTCTCAGTATGAATGTAAAAATATCCACGGTTGCTGTATCGTATGAGAGCTGTGGTGGTGGTACATAATGTAAGCTGTTTCCGTCAAATGAGGTGCGCCTCTGATGCTCACAGGAAATGAATTGCTCTATGCATAATTTATAAACCCAACTCTGTGCATGGGCGAATACGAAATATCCTCAGCTTAATCTGGCGTCAATAGCGTTTCTCTATGCATGAATGGAGACCAGACTCAGTTCTGAGCCCACAACATGGATTATCCTCGTATAGTGCCGTGCAAACGCCTTACAACAATTTTTCGACGTTGTATTCCTCTTCACAGGGAGTAACAGCTTTTAGTGGTGAGGAATTCGACCAAATAGAATACATAATTATTACCCTTAGCGACAACTTATTCGTTCAACCTTGCAAAACTTTCAGCATGAAAAAGTCGTAACTTCTTTGGAATCTGTCCATTTTTTTTTTCAATTTAGAACCATGAAGTATCACGAGGGAGGGAAGAAAGACACAAGAATTTAGGCTTCTGGAATCACCATTTTTATTGAAATGCAAAGGAGTTTCTGGGCATTTAGCAAAGATGACAAGTAAGACCAGGTAGGTTACGAGGCGAATTCCGGAGATGCAAGGCTGCAGAGATTAAGAATAAGCCATCCAAGGCTATAACAAAATATGATAAAAAATTGGCTTTAGAAATTATATCATCGCTACTCTAGAGAATTTCACTCATATTTTGCATGGCTCGTGCGGTGCATTTATATTGGAGAATCGGAACTTCTATAACGGACTTTTTTTTTATTATCTAGTATACTTTTTGGCCTTAGGATATATGTGATCCCAGAATGGTGGATCAGCCCGCAGTTTGTCCTGTGTTTTTCAGTGTTGATCTTCATCCCATTGTACACGTTTTATGAGCAACATATGTTAATAGTTCTTGGTAAAGTATGTTGCTCATGAAATGTGTGGATTAAATCATTCTATGGTTTTCGCAATTTCCGACTGCGGTGTTCGGGATGTAGAGACTCCCTCGGCTTGACCCCTTCGACCTCGTTTTGGTGTTTCAGAACTCGATCCGACACAACTTGAGCCTACACAACCGGTTCATGCGCGTCCAGAACGAGGGGACGGGGAAAAGCTCGTGGTGGATGATCAACCCGGACGCGAAGCCCGGGAAGGCGGCCCGGCGCCGGGCCACTTCCATGGAAACCTCCAAATATGAGAAGAAGCGGGGACGGGTGAAGAAGAAGGTGGAGGACCTGAGGAACGCCAACGGGATCCCTGGACATCCGGATTCTCTTTCCCTGTCCCTGGGATCCCATTCCCCCGCCTCCTCTTCCTCAGTCTCCGAGGGTCTCGACCTCTTCCCCGAATCTCCCCTTCACCAAGGTCATTTCTTTCATTTCTTCTACCTAGGCTTTAGGAAGCAACGTTACTGCAACGTCGTTTTTTTTTCCTTAAATGAAACTCAATTTCAAACTTTATAAGGAAATTACTTTGCGCAACAAAACTAACCTCAAAAACCTTTTCTTCATAAACATTATGATTGTAATAATTGCAGTGGACTTTGGCTATGTCGTAGCCCAAGTCTATTGCACTATATTACACAATTGGACGCTTAGTTTATTCTTACGATGCATAACGTTATTTTCTTGCCAAATTTCAAATTGTGTCAAAATGTATTGACGCGCGTGAACTCAAGTGACAGGAATTTATTCCTTGTAATTACGACAAGCTGCATTGTCTGACGAGAGCTCGAGCTCACTCTAATTTGAAGTAACCAGTGCATTGCATTCTGTAGAAGTGGATGTATGGATTGTGTATGTTCGAAAAACAGTTCAAATGAGTCAACTATCATGAAAAATTAAGAGATTCATACCTGAAAGACCTTTTTACAAACCAGGGTAACCAGGCTCTCTTTAAAATTAAAAAGAAAATAAATCTTTGCTTTACTGGAGAGAACTTTCATATAAAAATGTGCTGCAATCCGATTCTTCGTCTGAAGCAACCAAAAGCAACTTTGAACAGAAAAAATGCAGTAAAACTACCTGCTATGAGAAAAACCAAGAAATGACTGAGGAGAACAGCGAAAGTTCTGGTGATAGGAGAACGACGAATAAAAGTGAAATGATCAGTGGCGACTCGTGATATTTAGCGCTATTGGTTCGTCTATGGAGAGGGAGTAGGCAGTGTCCTCCCCTCCATAGACGAACTACTAGCGCTAAATATCAAGAGCCGCCTCTGGAAATGATTTGCACAAAAACATACCCGCGAGAACTAGCCCGTGGCCAACTATCCAACTCGCTTCCAGATGCTGGGCGCTGTTGGAGGTTAGCTGCAGGCCCACGTGTACAGGGCTAAACATTTGTCTGGTAGGTTAATACGTGTAGAATGAAAGCAGCTCCAGGCTGGGCTAATACGACTACCTGGAAAGAGTACTGTAAAGGAATTTTGCTGTCTTAGCGTGCAATTTTATTCTCTATCATTTCATGATTTTCATTGTTTACTGAGAATCCTTATATAAATTCCTGCAAAATGCAATGCACAACTTGTTAACACAAGGTAGCTAGAGCTGGTTTCAGTCACCAGGGTGTGCAGTTTGCAGCATTTTTTATATCCGCTTAAGATGTGTATGTAACCAGCAGTCGACCACACGCTGTACCATCATCTTCCAAAAAAAAAAGCTCCCGTTTAGCTTTTCGGGAGATCCTGAAAAAAAGACCTTGTATCAAGGTTCAACAGGACCGTGCTCCCAACGAGGATCCTGTGAAGCTTCAATTTCCCAAAGGCTCTTTCTGCTGTTACTTCCATTTATATATTGTCGCCTACTTGTTTGGATACAATGGTACTGGTTTACATACTTCAGTTAGAGATCTCTTTGTACCCACAGAAGCTTGTTTGGGACATGAAGACTTGAATACGATTGATCCTTGTTCCAATTGCATATAAAATGCGACTGAAGCGTCACTTTGTGTGGGTTTCGTTATATTTTTTCACAGTGTTACTGGTAACGTTAGTTTTAAGTTACGTTGTGTTATTTCTTTCCGTTAATTAACACAACCCCGGCTACATCCGTATAGTTCGACAGGGTAATGAACAAAAAGACCGAGAGGAAAGTTATGCTGCTGTGAAAGAAGAGTGAAGGGCATGGTGGGGAGAGACACGGAATGAATTCCACTCTGGTCCGCTTTGGCTTGTCCCTTCCGCAGTACTTTGTCTTTCCATGCCCTTTTGCCCTCTTCTCTGTTCAAATGGGAAAGATACAATTTATGAGCCTGCTGTAGTTCGGCGGAAAATGTGTTATGAAAGAGAAAAGTCTTTCTTTGCGTTAGTAATCCGAGTTCGTTTGGGGTGGGGTGAGGTGGAGAGGTGTTAGTGAGAGATACAATTTGTGTTTTTGTATAAAAATGTACTGCTCGTGAAGACTAGACTCCCATCTTGGGAGCGTTTCTCGGTGACGGATAGATATATACGTCATACCCACTTAAAGAATTGAGAGTCACATGTGCAGGTCGCGTCTCCGATTGCGAATCCCGTGAAGGATGACGACGGTTGGGGTTTATACGGTTTGTGTTTAGGTTTCCCCGGGGAGTTTCGAGCGCGTACGGCGTCGAACGCGTCGAGCGGGGGGAACCGCCTGTCCCCAATCTCGGGCGCGATGGAGCCCGACTCCACGGGTGGGGCATCGGGCGCCTCGGGGGATGGGGGCAACGGAGGAGGAACGAGCACGGCCGGTTGGCCACACCACCACATCCCCGGAGGATCCGAGTTTCCGCACGGCGGCATGGTCTACGCCCCTCGCCCCGTCGACGCATACCTCTCACACCAGCTGGCGGACAACCTCGCCGAGGGAATGAAGTTGGCCGAACAGCCTGGTGAGACAACATATCATCCACTACTGTATTTCCCATCTCTCTCTCGCTCTCTCTCTCTCTGAGCACGATTGCATAATAATCCTCTTTGGGATGGATGCTATGACTGTGGTGACTGCTGTGGGACGATAAGATAGGAACGAAGACCACGTGTCACCTGGATCCATTTTATGGCCTGGCTTCGCCCCTCTTCCGTCTTTCATGACGCATATTTCTACCTCATATATTACTGGCTGAGCAGCAGTTTGTTGCCAAAGACTTGCAGCTGCATTTTGTAATCCTGGATATTTCATGTTTTCTCTCAAGAAAACTGAAGATAATCTATGATGCTTTTTAATTTCCTTTTGTAGAACCACTAGTGTCAAACTTTTGAGTAGAACATATGCATTTATTTTGAAGCATATTGAGAAATACCGATTAACCACGTCAGTTTCCGCTTACCCGCAAAATTGGACATTGGGTTTGTAATGGAAGAAGACACGAAACAGGTTGGAGCCTGTTGATGAAGCCTTCCTACCATCGTGGCCTGTCTCCTTGTGTCCAGGATTCTCTTCGCCACTTGGCAGCAACGGGTACAGCAGCAGCGGAGTGTACGGTTCCGGAGGAGCATTCCACCCGACCGATTTCCACGGGAAGCTCATAGCCCCCCAGCGCAGCCCTCAGCTCCCACCGACACCCCCCATGTCCTCGTACAGTCTCCAGGTATGTCTCATACCATAGATATTTATCATCGGATTCTGTGGACGTGAAACATGCGAAAGGTTGCGTCGGATGCAGGCCGTGTCGCCCGCATACGGGAGTCCAGTGACGAGCCAACCCGGGCCGGATGTGACGGTGAGCAGTGGTGGCTTCTCGTTCTTCGGTGCGACTGGAATCCCGTCAATTGGGCTCAGGGCTGCGTTGGCCTCGGAGAAGGCCCCCGGGATTTGCCCCAACGAGTCCCCTACCACGATGATGGGACAGCTCATGGGTGCCGCGCTCAACAACGGCACCTCCACCACCTGTGATATTGACCTCAACCTCGACAGTTTCCACGTGAGCTTTTTGTTCTCCTGTTTTTATTATTCTTCTTTCGCTTCTCCAGCGAAGAAATGCATGCAGTCTTGCATGTTAAATTTCGTTCTTCTTTGTCTATGACAACTTTACCTGCTATTTACAAAATCTACTGCATGACAAAGCCATGTAAATCCTAGATGGCGACGGATGAAACTCACGAAGAGTGCGTAAAAAAAAATCATGATGCACTCTTTATTGTGAAGAAAATAAAAAAAAAGGAACTTTCTCCAATGCTTCTATATGGGACCATTTTTTTGGAATTCCATGCTACGATGATGGCGAATCTATATTGGAGGGTGGAAAGCTTTCCTGATGCAATCAGTATTCAGTATACAACATATGATATGATACTGCAGAAATATCAACAGGGCAAGAATTGAAAGGTGAAGGTTCCACACCATTCCTGCTGCTCTTTGAGTTTTCTGTTTTAATGCGGAATTGTGTATTCCCATTATATGTCCATACAGAATGAAGAAATATGTTTAATAGATATACAGTCTGCTTGCGTAGTTGGAAGAAGTTTTGATCTTTGCCATCTCTGTACCCCAAAAGATGGAAGTGGGGTTTACAGAAAAGGGGTGCTCTCCTGGAGCATTTGTGGTTAAGAGACGATTATGAATGCTACAAGCAGTTGGAATCCTTTTTTTTTGCATTGATGAGAAAAAGCACAGAACATTGAGACGTTTATGAACAAAACTTTATCATTCTGCCGCTTTCCCAAATTTTCATATTTTCTAAGCAGGCATTTGGCCACCAGAGCATTAAAAAGCAAGCCACGAATGAAATTTCCTCTCCCTGCTGTATGGAATAGTGACATTTGAGGCCAAAAGGTATGCTAAAACTGGCTGCTGCTTTCTTTTTACCTTGTTCCAGCCAGACGTGCACAGCATATTCTGTTTGCATGAAATAATTTCTAGTACCCATTGTTTTTCACTTCAGTTTTGATGTTCTGCCAGTCTCTTAACCCCTTGCATCCTATTAACAAGCCTGACTCATGGCCATAGCAAAGTGCCAAGCAGCTACATGACAAGCAGACTCATTCTTAATTTCCAACTCTTCTCTACAGTTTCGATTGGCATTAGAGTTACGTTCTGTGGGCATTCAGTGAACTATAGCTTGTTTTTATATATTGTTTGGTTTTCATTTGGTTGCTTCTCAAGTAGATGGCATTACTGTGATACTAATACTTATTTCAAAGTCTCTGTGCATTAAAAATACATTCTTTGAATATTCAGTGACCTGATACAAGCCTTCTTTTATTGTAAAATACAAACAATAACAGGCATATGTTCCAAGTACCCCAGAAAAATGGTGTGTTGGAAAAGAAAGCATTTGATGGAAACCCAAGTAGAGGAATACTTATGCGATAGTAATGAAAAAGTGTGGATGAAAGTGAGTCCTCCAGTGTATGAGAAAATGAAGGTAAATCATTCTATTTTAATACTGTCAAATGATATATTATAATGATTACCAGTTTGATATTTGTTTTTATAACTGAATTTCTATTTAGTAGAGCATATAGTGTCTTTACCCTGAAAGTTTCATGTCTCTAACTTGTATAGTTTAGTTTGAAAATGGCTATAGTTGACACAGCAAGAAATATGCAGTTCCTGCCATTTTAAATATGGCTGCAAAGTCATGTGGAGTGCCATTTAAAGAAGGACTGAAGGGGTTAAAAAAAAGTTTTTTCAATCATACAAAAGTAGAACTATTCTGTCATACACTTTCATGCACCTAGCTGCTTGAATTGAGGTATAGGGTCTGAATTCATACATTTCAATTATCCCAATACAACAGTCTACAATCCACTGTTACCCATGAGAGGCATCTTACTGTCATGTTGAAAGCACCAGAATGCCATTCGGGAAGTTTAGCCCTCACCCATGCTCAAGATCACTTCATAACCACTATTTAGACCACTTTTGAAGTTCAATTTTTACATAGGAGAACCTCTCTCTATTGAAATGAAAATGATGAAAAAAATCTTTGTTTAACCTTTTATATATGTGAGAAAGGGTGATTTCCAGGAAGTGGACCATTTGACATGTCATGAGGTCTGCTTTCTCCAGAAATTGATGCCAAGATTCTCTGAGAAATGAAAAGTACCAGATAGAAGAGGATAATCTGCTGGCATATACCATCTCTTTAGCAATTCTTCCAGGCTCTTTAGCAGTGTTACACGGACCCTATGGGGAGGTTGCATGAAGTCGAGTTGTTCAAGCTGTCCTTAGACTCCAGTGATCATGACTAGGGTGGTAATATCTGAGTTTCTAAGCCAAAACTTTTGTGTTCATTCTGGTTTTTGGTCATTCTGTTTTTATTGAAGAAACTTGCATAGGATTCTTTTCTGACACTATGAATAGTGTATGCATGCAACATGTAGCTTTTGGAGTAGCTAATATCCTGATTCTTGTAGCTCAAGGAAGTATGTAACTATGGTGTGCTTTACACTTTTCAGCAGTGTTTCATTAATTTAGTAATTACATTTTTATTTACTCATATTCACAACACATCAATGAGTTATTCATGATGTGTTTTCCAAAAATTCAGGAGGCATATTCAGTCAAAGAAGGATATTGCAGATGCCTTTGTTGTATTAATGGACTCTTAATGCTTGAATCCAAATTTCCTGTTGAGAAAATCTGGATTTAATTTAGAGATGATGAAAATTAGTTGAAGACTATGTTGGATGGTGTTTTGAGGGGTATTTCTTGAAGTGTTTGAAGGAGATGATCTAGGGAGAACATATATATTTTGGATGCTACAGGGTGGACTGGAGTGCAATGTGGACGAGCTGATAAAGCAGGAGCTGAGCATGGAGGGGAGCCTGGACTTCACGTTCCCACATCCACAGGGAAGTGGGTCGGGAGGCGAGGCTTCTGTCACAGTCTCCTCTGCCGCCCCACCAGGATCCTGGGTCCGCTGACCTGTTCTATCCCCAAAATGTCAATGCAAAACATTTACTCAGTGTTGAAATTATGAGCTCTGTGATGTGTCATCGTGCTCCATTGTTCATCTCCACCTCTGCTCTGTTCCACTGCCCCCCCATGACGAAGATGAATGTAATTTCAAGCTCAAGCTTACTGTCTTGGCTGAGATATTTCCAGTGCAGGGATTATAATATTTGCTTCTAGTTGACAAATTTGTAAAGAGAAAGAATGAAAGTTGCAAAACAAATTTTATTTAGTTTGCTCACAATTTTGTAGGTTGTTGGTAGGTTTGGTCTGTACATATAAACCAGATTTTCTTTCCTCTTTTTGCCAGCAAGATTTTTTTCTGCTTTCGTGCCCCAGTTCTTGTGTTTCCGTTATGTTTTATAATAATGGCAGAAGTTCTTTCTGCAAAATTTTCTCTTCCCTGTCTCTATCTATGCCACAAGAGGCAAGGAATTAATAAACAAGTGTTCGATGTCCCGTGTGTTCTGACTGCACGCAAGTACAAGCCTGTTTTCTGTTCATTGTTACGGTCTCCGATGTCTTTGCGTGTGCCGTCCGAATCGACAGAGAATGAACTATTGATGTCTGAATCGCTTATTGACTTGAAAACTCTTCCCATGGTAGAATTTTCTCTCTTCAAAAAACACATATCCGTTTTCTCTCGTTCGTGTACAATGGGTCTTCGATGAGACGAGATGATATCTCATGAGAAGGAATAAAAGTCATATTCATGGTTTTCCCTATCTCCTCTTCCTCGCTTACCTCCTCCATTGCATCGTTGAACCTTGAGATCATGGATGTTTTGACTCGGATGCAGTCTCAACCTTCAGATCCTCTGACATAAGCAAATCGGTGGTTGTCTTGCCATTCGTGCTGAGCTGAGCATAATTGCATCTTATCACAAACGATGACCGTGTCAGGCTCGGGAGTGCTCAATTGTAAAAGCTTGCCTCCCTTTCCCCTGACTTCATTTTGTTTGCATTCGGCATTTCATTTTTTCACCAACTTTTAGGCTTGCTTCAATCCTGCAGAGCTTGCTTTCGAAAGATTTTGCACGTTTATCCTGAGTTTTTTTTTTTAATCATATGATGTATCTAGTTCAAATTTTTTTTTGGTTGCATTTTTTATTTTTCCGGATTGGCCTATTCCCAAAGTTCCAAAGGTGCTCCTTCAGAATAAAAATTGTGTGGCAGTGGGCAGCAGGCAAGAGAAAGGGGAGGGTGAGAGGGGGAAAAAAAGGATTTGGAATATTCTCTCAAGGACAAGAGGGGGAAGGGGGAGGGAAGGCTCCCAAGGTCAACTGGTTCTAAAAATTCCGCCTCCACCCCCTCGGTCCCCTTCGCACACAATAGATGGCCTGGCAGTCCCCCAAGGGCATATGGAGAAGGCTATACACTTCTCTCTCACTATTGAAACCCTCTCCATTGTTCCCAGATTCCCCTCCCGCTGATTCTTTTCCCATTCCCCTCCTCTCTTCTCAGGGAGATTTCCGACCGAATTTCCTCCATATGGGGAGAACGGAGGATTATGTTATCTACGAATGCATTTCACATGAAGGACCGTACATGGACTGCCATCTGTGAGGTGAGCAGAGACGCAAAATGCGATCGAAGCCAGATAGCGCATCCTTCCAGGCGCAACACGACCGATCTACGTCATCAGGCCTAGAGAATAAGAGCTCTGAAAACTCTCATAATCTGAAGATGGTCGCCGTCGAGCTATCCTCTCGAGGAGGACACGACTTTGTGAAGTTCTCGTTAACCCTGTGAACGCTTTGGGGATCTCCCTTTTCTTTCAATCCTAGCCTGAGGATTAGTTAATTTTTTTTATTATAAAGAAAAGGTCCATGAAAATTGGAGTTTAGTTGTCTCTAAAATATTTGTGAATAAAAAAAATGACTGCAAGTTGCAACTTGTAGCCACTGTAGCCGAGGGATTCCGCATGATAATTATTAAAGAAAAAAAAACTTTCCGGTTTGAATCTCGCAGACAAGTGCAGGTTCGACGGGTACGCATGTGTCGCAAATTTTCCCCGTGTTCTAACGCATTAAGGGCGTTTCACACTTTGCGTCATGCGTCCTTTGCGTCAATGCTGGGGCAGGTAGGCAAACGCACGCGTGCACACGCATGTCCACTTCATCGAAGGTTTTCACAAAACGCAAGGCTTGCGTTTTCAACAGAACTCATCCCAATTCCACTCGCAAGCCTTGCGGATATCTTGCCAAATATCCTAGGTACGGCGCTGCTCTTAATGCCTTTCGCATTTTTGGTAAGTAGATGAAGCAGAAAATGTAACGCTAAAAAATTTGAACGGATTGATAAAAATTAGCAATAAAACTACATTCGTTGTCGACCTAGGAAAGCAAAAACGACTCAAGTGCGCCGCTCTATCGTGTCACCTCACGTTCCTCCGGTGTTTCATGAGACATGGCAATTGAAAGGTGAAGAATATATCTCTGTATACTCTTAGAAAAGAGTGACCGATTTTCGATAAAGGGAGCGAAACTGGAATTAGTGATTTTACTCCCTAAAAACGAGAAAGTACAATCGATAACTACTCCTTTATATGAGCAGAATCCATAACTTTGTTAAGAGCCTGAGACGGAGGGAGAGTACTTTTCAAACTAGTAGAAAAATTTAGTGGTTATTCTAAGGAAAGAGAGAGGTGAGCGTCATTACTTCCTTGTTTTTAGGGAGTAAATTCGCTAACTCCAGTTTCGCTCCCATTCTCGGAAATCGCTCACTCTTTTCTAAGAGTGTAGCTTCCTGCCGTGATTGTGTGAATTATAAGAACGGACGCAATGTCTTATCCTGGAAATCCTAGTAATGTGAGCCATGAAATCTATTCGACATCATGCGGGAACGTCCCTGCATAAAACCAGAGGAATTTAGTTAGATATTGTTCACATTGTAATATTTTTTTTAGTGATCTTCGACCTTGTATTGGACCTGCGGTACATTTTTTGTTAATACTGCAACCGACGTACATTTAGAAATCTTGAATGAGTGTTTACGAACGCGAAAAGTCTCAAATTTGCCCCCTTTTAGGCTTTACAATGTTTTCTCAAAATGATAAGGCAGGGTGGACCAAAAAAGATCCTTACTTCGCGCTGCTGCAGACGAAACACCGTACGAGTCATCAGTAGAAAATGTATAGAGTCACACATATAGTATGTGTAGTTGGCTCCATGCAAATTTCAAGGAGCTCAGTAGGTAAGAATGAAAGTAAGAAAATTTCTTAGATGCGATGTGAAATGGGCGAGTGCGTGGGCTCCCCCATTTGCTTCTTCCGCTGCTTCTTCCGCGCACGATCCATTCCCAGCACAAGCGATGGTCTCGCCCACACTCCTCGTATGGTATCGCAGTCCGGGCAGGTGCAGATGGGATCTTGCAGTCCAGGCAAACGCAGGCGGTGTGGTCTCGCATTCCAGACAAACGCAGACGGTATGATCTCACAGTTCAGTTACATTCTCTCATTTGACGTCGCAATAAAAAAAAGGTGTTGCTCGGATTTCAAAGAACCGATTTCATTGGAATTTTCGTGAATCCACCGACATGAGTTGCATGTAACATAAGTTTTCTGTCGATATCCTTATCATCTTCCTTTTGCATGTAATCTTCCGTTTAAGGAAAAAATCCATGCTTGTGCTTTTTCCCCCCCTGGACGTGGAGTACTTGGTCGTTTTGACGAGAAGCAATATATTTGAAAACATAGTGGGCCTCGGGCCCACATGTTTGGGTCGTCTCTGGCCGGGTCCTCAACAAGTACGGTAAATGGACAAAATGGAGATATCCGATGTTGGTGTAAGTACGACCGAGGACTCTTATCTCGGTTCATCTCGAACAGGAACTCGGTGGGTGGAAGAAATGGGCATTGGATCGTGTCCGTACACTCTTAGAAAATTCCGAGCGTTTGGGGAGTAAAGAGTGAGCACACCATGAACTTTCCGAATTTACTCTCTTATTACTCACCAAATGCTCCCTCATCGCTCGTATTAAAGTGAACACCTTCAAGTTCTTCGCCAGGCCACTAGATGGAGGTAAGGGTCTCGCTTTTCGCACAGTACACAAAAGTTCCCTTCCCTCTTTCCTTGGAATCGTCCCTCGCAGGATTCTTTAGTACCTTGACATGTGTCTCGCCTAGTCTCATTATCGGAAGACTTTATCCGCATAGGAGATCTAGAATACAATGAGAGGGTCCGTGAACTTCTTTCAACCATACTTCAATTGACTGAGATAATGAAGGACTGATATCACGGACACTTTACGGTACCATAAGAAGTGGTCCATCCTCTGACCTGTGCTGTAATCAGTACAATCAGGGATAGGTCAACGCCTGTGCGAGGGCGAAATCGACACAAAGTATTAATATATATGAGAACTTTCGTATTTGCATGACATCCCTATCACTTTTTGAAGGGAGCGTTTTTACTTACGGAGGAGAGCAATTTTACTCCTTGGTGATGGAGCAAATTCGCTCCTTTCCCAAAGCGAAAGGGGAGTGAAACTGGAATTAGCGATTTTACTCTCTTTTTTGAGAAAAATCGCTCCCCTTTTTCTAAGAGTGTAGGTCTGAACCCTTTCGCAGAACAGTCTATCACACTCCCCATGCATCTCCGCATTTATCCTTTATAATCTTAACAGAGGATTCATAAAACCGATTATGTTTCTTTCAAGAACTTTCGGACAGAAACGCTTGATTCTGTACACGAGAGGATTGCCATTTGTGAATTTTACGCTATGAATATTGGCCTGTTTCCAAAACTTCATTTTATTTTTCTCTTTCCCCCCCTTTTATACGATGAATAACTTCTTCATAAAATTAGTGAGAATTTGTGGAGGGAAGAAATCAATGTTAAGATTCCTTATCTATTTCAGAAATGAGATATAATACAATAAATGAGATATAATATATTTAATAAAATAAAGAATAATAATTATAACTTTGGCTCCCAAAGGAAATCCAAGGAATATTATATCACGTCATCATTATCATGCGGTCTGCATGTCCCAAGGACATGTCCTCAGGTCCCAAGATTTTGATTTTGCGAGCATGGAGTTTAAAAGCATTATGGCTGAAGTAGCCCTTTAGGATCCGTGGAATGTGTAGTCTAGCCGGTAAGATAGATGATGAACGGCATCTGCACTCTCTCGATCCGCTCGTTCGTCCTCCCTGCCCCCGTCGAATAGGGACTGTACAGGAAGGCATGAATATCCATCCCATCCCTGTCGAAATTGGCGAAAGCGATGAACTCCCGAAATGGGTAGATTTTTCATCTAGTTTTCATACGACACGGAAATGGAAATGCTGTCCTTGTCCGTCCCACAACCCCGTCGTCGGGCTGAAGAATCCCGATAGACATTCTCCCCTCCCCTTTGGCTCCTCGGAGTGGTGCAAGGCGCCGATGGCCTCCAAGTTAACCCTTTCAGACCTGGCGTCCATTCCAATGGACGTTGCATTTACATTATGTCTGTGGCAATTTCTTAGGATTCTTGTGACTTTGCGCTCCATGTTACGCTACAATGGGCACAATTATGCATGGCTCAGTTCCATCAGAGGCCTTCTTCCACCCATTAGTTTTGTAATTTTCAGTTATTTAATTATATGTATAATATATAATATATGATATGATATGGTAAATTTATAATATATATATATATTAAAGCTACATATAGAGCATGGAAATTTCAATTACAATCACGAAAGAGCTCAAAAATGCAAAAAATAATATTATTCCGATAGCGGCCTTAATTTAGGTCTGAAAGGGACAAGGAAAGTGCGAAATACCAAGGGGCTTCGAGAAAGCCCCCGCGAACGTGGCTATTGAGGAATATGATGATGGGCGAGAGACCAGACCCACTATTTTAGGTTAACTCTTACAAGCTATATGCCAGACGGATGCGGGCGACCTCGCTCTCCTTGCAAGCGCTTCTGAGACGTGACTCCTTCATAGGATTTCACGTCCACCCGACCAAGACGGATGTACTTTCGTCAGCAGCACTATTTCCTGACACTGCCCGGATCCTCTACCAAATCGATGAAAATCCGCTATCGACTACGGCCTTCACCTACATAGGAAAAGAGAGGACCGGGAGCCCGTCCAAGGTCTCTCCCTATGTGTTTCTCAGAGCAACGGCACGTGTCCATCCAGTCCTTTTCTATTTCTTGCCTTGCTCTGTCACTTAGATCGTTCGAATCTCGCATAATTCCGGTACTCCTCTATGGGACCGACACATGAACGATCGTCGAGAGAGTGAAACGGAAAACTGGAGCATTCGACTGCGCGATCGAAGACGCCTACGTACAAACTCCTCCCTTCGGACTGCGGATGAATTCAGAGGATGGAGGGAACTGACACCGACTGATTCCTTGGGACCGGCTCCATGGTTACATCTTTCATGGTGATGCAGGCCTCGGCCGGCTGAAACGCACTCATTGAATTTCTTTTCTATCGTTCCGTTTGGGAAATAGAATCCTACCCATCTCACAGACTTCACTGGAACCTACCAGTGATTGGAACGAGCGAACGCCGATCCTTCATCAGTCTCGTATGCTCCAGCCTAGCGTCCTTTCCTTTTTCTCCTCCCCCTCCCTGCATTCTACCATCGCCTTAGGAGGACCCGGGTATCGAGTCGCACCACCGGCAAGCAATAGCACCAAACCCTTTTTGCGTGATAAGGGAAAGAGTAAAGTTATGAGGAGTGGGTTTGGAGGGGAGAAAGAAACAGTGTCCAGGGGGTTTGCTTCAATGGGGCTATGCTACGTGCAAAAATATAAAAAATAAAAATAATCGAGTCAAAGGAGTCTTGGAAATATCATCTCTTCTCCAACGGTTTGTTGGTTTCAGTCTCTCCATCGGTGTGCTCCTATTTCCCTTCTGATGACCACCGAGCGAAGAAGCAGACTCGTTTTGGGAGACGATGGCTCGCTCGCGTCAGAGAACGGGCCCGACTCCAAACGTTCCCTCTGCCACCCGTTATTTCCAAAAATAGGAGAGGGTTCTCACTCCTTCGCCCGACTGACCGAGAAATTCCATCGACCGGACGAGTGAGGTTGAGAAAAGCTTCTCTAACTCCCTCGCGCTCGTATTTCCCGTGGGATGGTAATTACGACGAACAGAGTGAAACGCCCGTCGAGAACCTCCCGGCCGAGCGGGAGACCCTACATCCAGGTTCCATTCACGTAGGCGGAGGCAGGTCGTCCACTGTTTCAACATTCACCGAACTATAGCTACGCCCCCGTTCCTTAAGTAATTTCTTTTTAGTCTCTCAGTTTTTGGTATTGTGACTCCTTGACAGGTTTTCGTGGCACGTCGTGGAATGAGCCAGTGAAGCCAGACGCACAGTTGCAAGCGAATTAAGTTTAATCGGACCCATGCATTTCCAACGAGAGACAGGATATGGCGACAATAGAGGGGGGAAAAAGGAGCGGGGAGCAAGATAACATTAAGCCAAACTTTAAACGAGTTTTTGCCCAAAAAAAAAACTTATAACCCGTCGCCGTTTTCACTAATTTTGGAGACTTTCTCACGAGAGTAAGGATAGCAGTGTTAGGATGACCCCCACGATTTCTATCATTGTTATCTCGGACACAAGTTAAACCTGATGTTGACCCAAGCTCTCGAATCGGGGTTCTCCATGCTCTCGCGGCGAAACTATCCAAAGGGAAAGGAAAACTACTTCCCTCTATCGTTTTTTTTTTTAAGCCTTTCACTCGTTACGAGACCAGAAATAAGTGGAGGAAGCGGATTGTAAGCATATCACGCAATTCCACATTCCTCAAACATACGTTGTACCCAGAATATCACTGTACAATGACTAAACGCGTTAAGCCTTTGCCCGTCGACTGCTAGCCCGACACAGCAGAAGGAACGAAAGGGAACCCAAGAACATTGAAAGGAATCTCAAGAAATGGAGTACCGTTTGGGAGCGGAGGCACCTCTGTTTCAGAGCCATCTGTCGGCCACTAAGAAAATTAGAAAAACCGATGCTAATATGGACTCCCCCATTGCTCTCTGCTCGTTTATTTTGTCCTTGTTTTTCTAAGGTGTATGGTTCTTCCCTCCACCATGCTTCACATTTATCGGAACCTTATCGCCGCCCTCGACAGGATGGTGCCGGCCAGACTTCAGAATACTTGGAATCACCCTGCAGGTGAGGTCAGGTCCCATTAGACCTAACTGGGTCTGCGAATTCCCCCTAATCTATAGTGCTCCCTTTTATATTGTTCCTCTTCCAGTGTGTTTTCTTCCATGTTACTATCTGTTTTGTTTCCTTCTCCTCTACTTTGTTTTCTTTTCCTCTGTTTTGTTTTGTTTCCCCCTATTTTGCTTAATTTGATTGACTAATGTCTCGATCCCCCTGACTTTCGTACTGTACATCACTTCATACAATTCAATAAAGCTGAACTGAACTGGGTGGAATACTGGTAGAAGTTCATGCAGATGTATTCCTATGATAGTTTTTGACAGTAGCTCTCATCTTTACATGATTTTAAGGACAGTTTAGTCATACCCGAACGTGTTCAAAGCTCTGCAAAATTACATTACTTTTAGAGTTGTCTTGTCATAAAATATGGCAGCTGCATGTAGCCCTAGGCATACTAAAAAAATATGCCAACTTTGGTCCTATGTACGACATGGAGACATTTAACGTATGAGGTAGGCTCTGCTTAGATCAAGAGCAAAACTATCAGCTAACTACCTACTTACTTGTGGGGTTGTTTGATTTCCTGTTCATGTGTTTACTGTTTGGCTGTTCAGGGAATGATGCATGAGCAATGTTGATCTCATCTGGTTAAGAAAATAGTGAAGCATAGGCTTCTTGGTGTTGATCTTTGAGAAAAGTCATGGTGCAATTCTGAAAACAGGATGAGAAGTCTTCAAATGTGATTTCATTCCCATCTTCAAGGTGTGTTCACACTGGATCTGTGAGAAACCTTCCTGAAAAAGAAAGGAATCAATCTACAAGCATCATTTTTGTTGGGGAAGTGAGATTCCTTGCATTGTTTTCCAACATATTCCCAGACAAAATATTGTATGTAATACCCTCCCTCAAGAAATAAATTAATGACATAAGAGCTCTTTGAAAGCTAGGTGTTGCCATCCACTAATTTTGGCTCTTGTCATGTTGTGAGAAGCATCCCATTAGGATGTCAGGAGGGCATATGCCTGAGTCAAGGGTTTCAGCTCGGTATGAATGGTAGCCTTAGCCTACTCTGCATGAAGAGTAGGTTTTTAGGTTTGCCCCTAACATAAAATTCATGGCCTTTTGATATTTAGTTTGTGATGAATTTAGCTCAGTCTATATTTTATGTTAAATGGTAGACCTAGTCATTCATTTCTTAATTTCTATTATATGTATTTATATCTTACATTTTTAGGCCCAAAGACCGTGTTCTTCTGGGCACCGACATGCAAATGGGTAAGTCAGAACTGCAAGAATTTTTAAATCATGACACTGTTTTCTCTGGTTTCACATGTTTTAACTGTGTTCAAGCTTGGTAGAGCCATCTCCTGTTAATGCACAGAACCATTAATATTTTTCTCATGCATCCACTATAATAAGTTTTCCACAATTAAATTGTGATTCTTCTGCTACAGAAGACTTCAGAATTTGGCCTGCTCAAATGCATAAGTGCAGTATATATCTCAAATTTGCCTTGTCATCAATCAATATACACGCATATTAAAGTATTTTTTAAAGTTCAACCGACTTTTCATACAATTCATTCATTACTTTGTCCATGCCGTACCTTCATCAAGTATGGGAGCTCTAAATTCATATTCCATTATGTATACTGTACAGTTCAATACACATGCATCTTCCAATACAGCACAAATGTTGAGTCCATCACCCCAGCTTCAAAACATAGCTGATTGGGATTAGCCTACTTGTGGCACAGTCTACTTAGGAAAGAAAAGCCTGTAACAGTACCCATGTTTAAAGCATTAGTCAGAATAATACTGGTTCTAGAATACTGATTTCCAGTTTGGCATTCATCATTCTGTGTACCTGGAATGGAATCAGACAAAAGAGAAACTCATGAAGTCTTATACTCTGGGGAAAAAAGTAAGAAAACTCTTCAAAAAGGACTTAATCTCAGTTCAAAGTACTGTCATGTGGTCTTTAACTTATTTTCAGGAATAGGAAGCAAAAGTATTGGATGAACAGGAAAGTGAATAGGGGTTTCATATAAAGGAATATTGCAGGCTTTTAACCTCATTTATCTCTGGAAAGTTATTGAAAGGAGATATATTAGAGACTTGGTAATTATTTATGATATTTATTAGTATGGATTAGAGAAAGTTGCACACTCTCCAAGATACATTTTCCTTGGAAGGAGCCATTCTTTAATATTGTATGATCATTTGATGAGCAATTTATGACTTGAGACATTTCATCAGCTAATTTATTTTAAGTCATAGTTATGAAGTCATCGTTGCATTCAAGAATTCTAATTTAGTCATATACCCTAATTACTGCAAGTAAGATGCAACTAAGTCAGAATTAGCCCATTCACATAAATAGCAACCATTCTGCAAAGGATATCAAGTGGTTTTGCATCTTCTGTGCACAAAATGTGTATCACAGTCCTCTGATGGTCCTTGGATGTCCCTTCAATGGAGGTAGCTATCTTTACCAGGTTACAGCTCATGCAATCTTTCACAAGCACTGATGCCAATCATATTTTCAATGATACTTCAGTGTACTTAAGAGTTATACTTGATGTCATGTAGATGCATCATTCGTGCAATTTTTGGCATGAGTTTTGCTATTTTCAGTTGACTGACCCTAGTAGAGCATATTGCAAATATCTATATCTATATGCAGGATTTTGAACTTGTGAAGCACTTACACAAAGTCATTCCATTAAACAGTTGTGCTGTATTTGAGTGGATTTTAACATGAACAGGTTCACGGGTCTTATTTTGTTCTGTTTCTCATAAGGGTTTGGTGATAGCAGGACTTGGAGACCTGACAAGGCCTGCTGAAAAACTGAGTACATCACAGAGTGCAGCTCTGGCAGTCACTGGCACAATCTGGTCTCGCTATTGTCTTGTCATCACACCTATTAATTACTACCTCATGAGTGTAAACATGTTTGTGGCACTCACAGGGATGTACCAGCTTTCCAGGATATGGAAGTGAGGTCCTTTTCAGTCAGTTTCCATGTGAAGTGGTGGATTCAAGATCTGATACATAATCCTTATTTTGTGTTTATTACAGTTATAATAAGAAGCAGAAGGAAGCTGCAGGCAAATGATGGGTTGGTCAGATCTACTCATTGTTATGTGAAATTCATCCATTACCATAGTCTTCAACAGTGAGAGATATACTATATTTTGCAGGCTTTAATTGACTTTTTGCAGTAGTAAAGTTTGTGTTGAAAACCAATCTCTAGAATTAATCACTTCCCCACTGATGCATGATTCTCCAAACTATAATGAAAGAATGATTGGGAGGCATTTGCAATTGTTATTATACTGTTATTGAAGATTATTTTCCAGGGGCTGCTGGGGTTGTATTTATCATATTCTTAAAACAACAGCATTAAAAACTACAGACAAAGAATGAACATTCCAATTTGATAGTAAAGGATACAGGGTAGAATTTGAGGAATTACATGTAGCCTCATATGCTCTCTGATTATACTGCCTTTCAGAGGCATTTGAATATCTCTCCCATTGTCATATGAAAATACATGTCACTTTTATTTTGTGAAATTTTCATCTTTTCTTCATGACACTTATAAATTATATTAGCGTTTCTTCATATCTGTTGCTGCCAATTTGCCAATATTCAGAAAGCAACCCAAGAACTAAACTAGAACTGAAAAACTAAACGTACAGGAAATGAGAGTGTCTCATGAGTGTCTTCATGGAAAACCATGAACCATGGGGTTCATATTTTCATCCTTCTTGATGCTGTCAAATGGCATTAGCATTACTGTGTTTGGCATTTGGCAGTGATCAAAACTATCAAAACTCTGAAATGAGGAGCCAAAATGATCAAACGACTGAAAAAATAACATGGGGAAGTTGGTAATGCGTGCTTCTTTACCGTCTGCTACAATGACTGTATCACAATATCTTGAGGACAGTCATGTGTTGAACACTGTTACCAGATTTTGTCCTATATTTCTGGTTCATCCTTAAGCTGATCTAAGACCCAGACTGATGGCACCTGATCACATTGCTATGTAATATATGTGATGGATATTGAGATGTACTGCCTCTGCTGCCTGAGTGGTTTCTCAAATTTTTTGGCCAATTGTTTGTAGCAGCTTCAAGGAAAGCTGACACTAGCAGTATTTATAGAGGAAAGATGAAAATTATCCATGATCATTACTTGGCTTTCACATGTGATATTGTCATTGTATGCAAATTTTCAAAATTTTTAGGCAGACTGTTTAATGTTTTGACTGATAGGAGCTACTGAAGCAATGTTGATGGCATTCCTCAGTATCTCAAAGAATTAAATATTCACACCTGAAAGTTATATGCCTTTCTTACAGTCTTGAGGTATTAGCATTCAAAGTCTGTGCACAAGGTTTACTGAAAGGCAGTTCATAACTTGCTCTGTTCCCTCTTACCAACATAAAGAGGCATGATGATTTGAAAAGGGGGGGGGGGGGGGTATTGTAAACATGTTAGGGCCTTATAGTGAGAATTGTGGTGCAAAATAGCATTTTCTAAAAAAAATGTAAACCCTTGTAACTCGTATTGATGGTTGTGGAAAGACTCCAAAATCAGTCCATTCTTTCTATTTACCCAGGACTCTGGGACAAGTTTCACTTGTTGCACCCCAGTACTTTAGGGGATCTGGAAGTATGTGTTCAGAGAGCTCCTTTTCCTTCTGATGACTGAACACACTGACCTACAATGAAGCTACTTTGTGGATCCTCCTGAAAAGTGAGATACTGAGGGATTTACCTTGCAATCCCAAAGTTGAAAGCTTTGTTAGTGTTAACCATTGCTGATGGAGGAGTTATCAGCAGATACTGTTCACGTGCTTCGTAGAGCATCAGGAATGTAGAAAAGCGAACTTATTGCGATGAACCTTTAACGAATTAAGTCTATGCTATCAGATTTTATTTTTCCTAGGAATCATTGGATATTGAATTGGATGACTATGGCTCGCCATATTTTCATTTTTCCCTCCCAGCATTAAAAATAAATAAAATTTTAATCGGAAGTACGCTTGAAGTTAGCTCTTTACGAGAGAATGTGTTGGCGCACTCCGAAAGCAGAGAAGAGGAAATCAATCGTCTCTGATCGTGGAAAAAGGAGCTAACCTAGCACGGAGGGAAAAATCCGAGCTAGACACTCTGGTCGATGCAAATGATCGATACTTTTCTATTCTTGAGGCGGCGGTTTTTCTCTTTGGCGGCGAAATTCCATAATAAAACCATCCATGAATCCCATTTTTACCACAGGATTTCTAATAACTGGGCCAAAGCCACCTTCAGTAAGCAATTAAGGTTTCAGACTGGTCTGTTTCTTCCATTTCGTTTCTCTAATGGTAAAGGTGGTTTGTGCTTTCATTCAGAGAAGCTGAGATGGCCAAATCAAATATATTTAAGATTCCAATCCAATCTGAATCAACAGTTCTTTGAAGCGTATCGCGAATCTCATATCGTTTGGAAATAGAACGAGTCAAACAAGAGTCGAATCGCTCGAGTTCACAAGAAAGTTAAATTGAGTCATATCTAATTAATACTAAATCCCTACTAAATCTTTTCCATTCTTCACGAGACCCTGGTTGATTTTCTTGTTCAAGTATTGTGCTCCTGGAACAACAACACGGCGCATGATTCTGATTCAAAAGCAACTAGACTGCCCGTTGCAGTATTGCTTGCAAAATAATTTAAAGATTTTTTTATGGCAAAAATAATTTATTTAATCTAATCAGGAATTCGGTTTCCTAGGAGACTGACGACAAAATTTCACAACAATACAGCAGAATATAAAAAATCGGCGGTTTTTTTTATTATGAACAACTACGTCAATTGAGTTTCACCTGGCCGTTTACGGCCTACCATATCCTTGCGGACTTCGGTTCAGGGGACTACATGGACCATTTGGACCCCGGTACCAAGGGACGTACACATCAGTCACCACCACGACTCAAGCGCTACAGCTACTCTACTCATTACTATTGAATACTTATAAGCTCGGACCTGTATGACCCGATATGTCGGCGCACCTTTCGGCTCCCCAGGCTCCCTACCCATTTTCTATACTTCTTCAGTCTATGTATGTCGGTATGTGAGATTTCTTTGTAATGCCCGCCGCTGGCAGCGTTAGTGCGGGAAGGACGGGGTTCCGATTGATAAAGGGGTCGGGATACAAATAAATATATGGGCGTAGATCTCATCCTGGCGAGGAAGTCATCCCTCCTCCAGGGATGAAAGGGGACTCCAAGAGCAATACGTGGGGATGTTTTACACGTCCCTGCGGAAAAGTCCATATCGGAGATGTGAATACCCCCTAAGTAAAGGGGGGGGAGGGTGCATAGAATAGCTCTATCCCGTTGCAGTGTTAGGGATGACATGGAAAGTACTCCTGGACGAGTTGGGTTCCATGGTGTAGTGATAACACGCTCGATCGGTAATCAAGGGCAAGGGTTCTATTCACGGCTGCTCCATTTGGTTTTTTAGTCCTGTCCTCATGCCATCCGAACTCTTCCCCCTCCTCCTCGGGCTATTACACACTCGAGGATAGATCCGCCAGTCGCAACGACCGGAAAAGAAGCTCGAGCCCAAGAGAGGGCTCGGGTACACCCGAGGCAGGCAGAAGGCGTCGCACATGCGCAGCATCGGGGGCTTCGTACGCACGCAGCTTCATTACGTTCTTAATACATAGGATATAGTATAATGGCTCCACCAGGCGCCGTTCAATGCACATTTAAACTTAATTCACTTCCTGGCTGTGAAAAATGAAAGGATTAAACCGAGTCCAATCTTCGAACTTATGAATCTCATAAAATCTGAGTCTGGGTCGAATCGAATCGGAAGTTAATATCATTGTTTGTTGAATTTCGAATATGATTCGGACTCAGCCTCCTCTTAGGGAAAGGGAAACGCAGCTTTTCAAACATTTCGATGCTCGCATAGAATATGAGGGACGATGAAGTGGAGCGACACTAAGTTGATGAAGGTTGACGATTTGGGCCGAGACGCTAGGAGGCATTTCTGCGCACATTGGCATTCTTAGTCCCAATGGAGCGTTCATTCTAACCTCTTTCCCCAATCTCAGGCTTATCCCCTAACTTTGCCTGGTCCCTCCAAAGATAAATATTTTTCATGGGAGCGTCTCAATCAATCTCCTGCTTAGTTGCAGCTATATTGCCCTCCTTTTTTTTTGCCCATGAAGGCAAATAACTTCTTAAAGCTTCTCCTAAAATCCTAAAGGGTGAGGCTCGAATACTGAAACCTCCTTTAGTTAACGGTCCTTTAAGAATACATGGACTTCTATGGGAGAAAAAGAGCTCTTCAACTTAAAGCCCTCTTTATCTCCCGTAAATGAGGTTTGTGCATTCGAGCCCCTGCCTCTAAATCATTGCCTAATACGTTCCACACATACTACTCGAAAAGCACAAAGGTGAATCCATCCCTCGAGTCTCACTTGAGGCTTATGCAACTGTAACCGCTTCCCTCTCATTCTGCTGTTGCCATCGAATTCGAAGTACCTATCACGCTACACGTTATCGTCGTTAGATCCCTTTGAAGTCAGCGTGGCCCATGTGCTTGGATTTATTTTGCAGCATCTTCGTGTATAAGGCCCTTTATAGTTTTTTTTTTCGTCGTGTGTCTCTAACCACTTCCATCTCCCCGTTATAAGAGGAATGTATAAAGAAAGTCGGCGATGCTAGTGGAAAATAACTCGGGAATAGGGTTCTCCATTTCCAGTCAATTCATTAACCGGTAACCGATGGACAGTCACCGGCTAATATCAGTTAACCGAAATTCCAAGAATGGCTTCCAACGAGGGATAACATTTTTTAAGGAAAAGAGGAAGAAGGAACGCAAGTTTTTCCCATTTATGTCGGAGACCAGGGAGAGAGACTTATCATAGCAATTAATCGAAACCGACTTTTAGTAACTGGTTTGTATAGATCAGTCGATTAAGCGGTAACTCGATAAACCGTTGCATCCATACTCAGAAAATATTTTCCCTCGAGTCTTGATATTTCAGCATTTTGTTTACGGGGACAGCCCGACTTATCCCGCGAGTTTCGTCTCAACCCATGAAATTTGAGTTTTGGCTTGGGAAGCAAAATGGGAATGGATAGGAGGCCTTCGCCGAAATTGTCTTCACATTTTGCTTTCTCACCTAGTGATGTTCCAACAATGGACCCGGTCCCAGTAGCAAAAAAGGCATTTCTTCGTGTGTTGATTTGTTTTGTCGATTCTTGTGCGCTGTTGGGCGGTACTAATGTCTCTGCAATAACTCAGGTTTTCAGAGTACACCGCATCCAAATCGATCCATGGGCTAGATTCCTTCCCCTGAACCACTTTGGTATTCATCGGATCGTTAGCCGCGATTTTTGCAACGAATGGTCAGCTGGCTTCAGCCACCTCCATTTGCGGCTGTGGTGGCATCAGATGAAAGTGGGAAGGTCTCTAACTTGTGATGGGTGAAGGACGCGCTTGTGGATGAAGGTGCGAGTGGAAATACCTCAGCTACTCATGCTCTCCATTCCATCTTGCGGACGGACTGGA